ATTGTAAAGCGCGGAATGCGAAAAGTTATTTAAAGTTAGTCAAAGTTAGTCAAAGTTAGTCAAAGTTTGTCAAACTTATTCCAGGACGATTTGGGACCAGTCCCAAAGCGGAGAGCACGTCGCCCGCTCGACTGGGCCCCCCCTCGCCAAACGAAGCACGCGGCAGAATGCACCGTGCATGCGTTGCGTTCGATTGCGAGGGGCGCACCCTGAACCAAGCGCGCTCTGATGCGATCGCAGACTGGCGCAGCGCGCGCCGACACGAGGCCGAGCGCACTCCTCGAGAAAATCTGCCCGACCCCATTAGGGCCAACACTAGGTCACTCTGGCCAAGGGTCACTCTTGCGCGCAGCCGACTCCGATTGTTATGAAGATTGCCCCCGTTGGCGATCAGAAGATCGGGCAGCGGTATCTCCCAAATTGGTCGGAGAAACAAGGGGTAAAAGGCATAGCCTGTCCTCGCAGGGGCGTGTTCTGCCGATCTGGCGCAGCCGGCGAGCCACGTCCCCGCCCAGTCCAACCCGATGGATTGTTGCGAATTGGGTTGTATATCCGTCCATGGCTGTGATAACTGTGTATGGGGTTGAAGTACGAGGGCACAGAACCCCTTGATCCGTTGGTAGAGGGAAGGAGGGAGAGATGGATATCTTTCCCTCCTGCACGATCAAAGGTCTGATCGATCTGCCCCAATACCTGAGCCCAAACGGCCAGGCGCAGGATAGGTGAGGATAAGGAGTATATATGAGGGTATTACACGGGTTCTATTCACACACCCCGTCCCGAACCCCGCCCGCGAGGGTAGGACTCGGGAACAGAGGAAAAGATCCCGTCACCCTCTTACTCCTTCAATCCTCATTTCTGTCAGGCAGCTGAGCGCAAAATCTGTATAGCTCCAGCTGCGCCCCAATCGCGATAGCTCTCACGATTAAGCAAGGTAAGGTAAGAAGGAACACCCAGGGTCCCTATTTCTCCGCCAAGCACGCTTTGGTGCCCCCATCGGCGCGCCCCCCAAAAACGCTTCGGCACTCGGGGGCGGAGAAGAATGAGACACGGGTGGGCAGAGAAAGAGGATCTGAGCCAGTTAAAGCAACATCAGAAGCTGCCGCGCCTAAGCGGGGCAGGTGTTGCCACCAGCTCTCGGTCGAGAGCTGGGCACCAGATCATTCTCGACGCAATGTAAGCAAAGTCTAACGAGTAAACGATCTTTTAAAACAAAAAATGCATTATGAGGTCGCGTTGATGAACAC